GCCAGGGGAGAAAGGCGCCCATATGAGCTCTCAAGTCATGGAAACCCAGAGTGGCAGCGAGCTTGCTTTGCTGCGTGGCAACATCGCGTCCGCCAGTCCGTCCAGTGGAAGGGCATTTGGCCCGTTGGTGGCTGTCTGCAGTGCCGTGGCTGACACTGCACCAGTGTGACTGTTCTGGCGGCTCTGTCAGTTTGAGCCTGATGTCCCTCCCTCTTCACACCTCGTCTTGGCTGAGAGTGACTGCTGACCAGAGACTTTCCGGGGGCGCCCGGCATTGGAGGGTGGCCGTGCTCAGGATTCCGTGAGCTCAGCGTGAGTGACCTCGGCTCGTCCTGGGGGTCAAGGTCTTGGAGAATCTCAGTGGTCGGGGTCTCAGGGAGTCTCCTAGGCCCACCCAATGGGGCCATGCATCTTTGTGTTCTTAGAGCCCCTCTCTTGGGGCTCTCCCTGGCCCTGGAGGCCAGTGGTCACCGGGCACCATCTAGCCCAGGGGGTCAACCTTCCTCATGCCACGACCCTTTCAGAGAGTGGTAGTGACCCCCCCAACCACATTATTTTCGTTGCTACTTCATCACTGTCATTTTGCTACTGGTATGAATCGGGCGACCCCTGTGAAAGGGTCGTTCCACCCCCAAAGGGGTCTCGACCCACAGGTTGAGAACCGCGGCTCTGCTCCCTGGGGAAGACGAGGCCGTGGGTTTGCCTGCTGTGGAAGGCGGTGCCCTCCTCCCAGCTTCACGGAGGAAGAGATCGCTCACGCAGCATCCCGAGGCCGCATGCCTGGAGAGCGGCAGCTCGGCGTAGGACCCAAGGTGGCACAAGAAGTAGTTTGCGACGGGTGGCTGAACCAAACCTTGGAGCCCCACCCGCCCCCCGCGGTGCAGAAGAAAAGACCTGTCGGTGGACGTTGGCGAGGATGAACGGGATTCGCACCTGTCAGGGTGACGGCCAAGGACACCCCACGGGCAGCTTTCTGTCCCGCAGGGGCACCTTGAGGCAGATTCTGCTTGAC